AAATTTTGATGATGATCTAAATGATCTAAATTTGATTATTGATGATTGATGATCTAAATTTAAAATTTTACAACATGTTCATCCATCATGCGATACATTCACGTTATTGCTTAATTCAAACAAATTGAGCAATTCATTCACTAAGTGCAGCACATCCACATTATTACTGCATCCATCACAATAACAAAACGTCAACTAGCACAATGACTTCCTTCTACGAATGCTATAGCAAATGAAAGCCACATAAGTCACACAATATCTCGGTCAATTCCTCATATCTTTCAGATACAATGCCAAATTTTAAAGAATGCCCAATTAACTATTTCAAACGTATTTCAAGTAGAAATTCCAGCAAAAGATAACCGACCGTTTTTTGAGTTTTTTGCCCTCTTCTTTGGATGCTGGCAATATCATGGCCAGATACGGACCATCCACTTCAAAGAATATCGAATTCTCAGATGACACTTTATAAGTTCCATCTGGTTCCAAATAATGGTATTGCTCATTCGTGAAATTGTCTCGTACCAACGCATTCAACATCGCACCTGGGTAAGAAACAGTCACCTGAAATCTCGAAAGTAAACCCTTTGAAAATACCATTCGAGAAAAATCTCTTCACAAATCTACACATCAAAAACTGTAAGAACTATCTTTTTTCACTTATCTTCTCAAAACCTTAAAGAGAACAAATAAAATTTCCGCTTAAAACATCAAAAAATTAAATTTTATTTATATTTTAACGAATAAGACATTATGGAACTTCATCACAATGTTAGAACATAATTCGAAAGCGATAAAAAAAGAAACAAACAATAAAACGTTTCTCAATTACTTTCATTCATCATTAAAAAATTCCTTCGTGAACAATGTGAAAAAAACATCTAAAAATAATGAGAATGAAACGAACCGATTTCTTCTTCTCACTATTCAAAGTAAATGTGATATTCTCAGGGAACGAAGTGGGTATCAAACACCAAATGCCATCAGTGTCCAACTCCAACGGTTTACCGATCTGCTCGACCAACTTTCTCGCTTCTGTGATTATATTCGCACCCGTATGACACACAATGCCAGCCATCTGCATTGAAAACCACCGAGATCCTTCAAATAAACAAACGAATCAATTTCAATCGCTCGCCATTGCCCA